AGATCCCCTGGAACTGTACGCAGGTCCTCTGCAAGAGCAGTTAAGTGTTCTTAACTGTTGAGTCATCTCTTCAGACCAAGAATTTAATTTGAAAAATAAATTTCTAAATTTAAATCAGAAACACTACACACACATTGCTCCCAAATCAGAAGTGACCCACATGCATAGCCCAAGGCTGCGCCCTCAAGGCTGCTCTGGGCTACAATTAGTCAGGTCTTCTTGGCCTGATGACTGGGAAAACAGAGGCATGCAGGAGAGGAGGTCAGGAACGCTTGTGATGAGATCCAAGGACCATCACAGCCCACTGCAGCCCTCCAAAGACTTGGAAGTCCACCTGAAGAGGGTCCTTTGGCCAACACAATCAGACACCAGTATTAACAAACCACAAAGTAACAAACATGTCAAATGTTCAAATCCAGAAGCTTACAATAACACTTGGAAAAACCCTACCTTTCCAGGAATCTGTAAAACAAATCAGTATTTCAAATCTGCTAAGTAAGGAAAGTGTCCGGCACCGTGTGTGTCTTTCAGTGTAGAATCCAGCACTGCGTGTGCCTTTCCCATGCACACCCGGGCCACAGCCAGGAAGAGGTTTCTAGTTACAGAAACTACAGGTTAGAAAAGCTTGATTTAACTAGAACATTAGCATCTGTGTACACTCATGCAATCATGATCACCAATGGTCATCCTCCAACAGCAAACACTCTGTGGGGATGCAGCTTCCCACATCCAAAAAAACTCTTCCTCTCTGTTCTCCTAAATAATGAAGGGCGGGACCAAGATTAGACTAGGCCCTTAGAGCTGTCTATTGACTTGAGGAAAACAAGGAAAAGAAGAGACCCCCAAAGAAGTGCAATTAACAAAACACAGAATTTGGACAACTTTACAGCACAAACAGAAAGGGAAAATTAAGTAAGCTATACAGCAACCAAATACATATTATGAATTTTGATGACATTTTATAAAAACACTGTTAAGAGCTATTCAGGAAAAGTAAATTAAATGGCTATTAAAAAACACCTCACACCCATTAGATGTCCACCATCTGGACCACAGTATGAAGTTGTCAAAGAAGTTAAGACTGAAATTAACGTACGATCTGAAAAGTCCATGATTCCAAAAACAGCTTTTAAAAACTGAAGCCAGGACTTCAAGTGGTTGCTCTAACACCAGGACCCAAGGAGCATAAACAGTAAGCAGGGAGAGAAAACGCACGGTGTGCGCACAAAGGGGTGTTATTCAACCTTAGAAGGAGGAAAGAGCCCACAGGCTAGGCATGGACGGACTTTAGGACACCATGCAGGACAGCTGTTAGGATGCCGCTCACAGGAGCTAGTGGCCTAGAGTACTCAAAGTAGGAGATAAAGGTGCCACCGCGCCAGGTGCAGGAGGCCTAGGCCTGCTTACGGCTTGCACTGTCACCCAGGGAGGAGAACTCTCAACCATACTAACACCTGCACTGAAAATCAGGGAAGATGGGTAAACTCATGATACTTGTTTTCAAATATGAATATAAAAGCTTATTCCTTCTTAGGTGAAAAGGCAATTAACGTCATGTTTAAGGTACAATAATGGCATCCTGACTAGTCTGTAACTTCTAATAGTGAAGTCTTTCTGAATAAAATTGTGAAGTGTCTTACCACCACAGTTACCAGGGCAGGGCATGCAGGAAACAAGAGTTTAAAGGAAAACTGTAACCAAGGTCTGGGGTGGGGACACGCTTCTCTCTAGTGCATCTCTGTAATTTAAATAAGTCAAAATCACATGGAGCTGGGGAGATGGCTCAGTGTTTAGAGCACTGACTTCGCTTACAGAGCACCTGGGTTTGGTTCCCAGCACCCACATGGTGGCTCACAACCCTCTATAACTCCAATTCCAAGCAATCAGACTCCCTCTTCTGGCCTCTGCAGACAAAGCAAAATAAATCTTAAAAATTAAAAAAAAAAAAAATCACATAACCTGTTGGCCAACGAATCCTATTAATCCAATGAAATGATCCCAGAACGGAGCACGAGGCAGTTCACATAGGACACACCGTCAGGGGTAGTCATCTAAGGTTCATTTGAAAAGTTTAGCTAATTTAAACTGACTATGTACATGTCAGGGAAGGCAGACAAGAGCGTTACAGATCCCCTTCCTACGATGCCGAGGGTGATGAGGGAGATGATGGGACCATATACTCCTACAAACACTTGTACATAGTATTTTCAGAGGAAAATGGGAAACACAGTCTTTCCTTTACATCAGGGATATGGAACACCTGAAGCTGCACTTGTACCCAGCCCTTCACGCATCCTGCCTGTCCCTACAGTCTTGCAGCCTGCACAGAGCACAGGTTAGCCTGTCCTGTCTTAAGCCCTGGCCCTCCTCTGGGGCCATTATTAAGCAAAATAAGGGTCACTTGCACCCATGCATGTGACTGTGATGCATGAGCAGACAAACTTGATGGCTAAGTGCTGGGGGGCGGTGTTAGAGATGGCCGACTGCAGAGAGTAAAGAGTCACACAACAGCAGAAGACTGAGCTCATCACAACACTCCAAGCAGCACACCATTTCAAACTCAGTACTGGTTTACTTGTAGAAATTTCAGGCTAATATTTTCAGACCATAGTTGGCATGGGTAATGAATTCTCAGGCAGACAAAAAGTAAGCAGGACCCCAAGTCACACACAGATGCTTAACCTGTGTGACTGTGGCACTCAGGCTTCCCGGGAACCCACACTGTGAACCCTCTCTAAGAGCCCTGTGTAAAAGGCTTCAGGGTTCTCAGCTAGATTGGGGTGTTTTATAATCCTGGCCCCACTCTGAAGCTGACCCACATAAACAAACATGCTTTTGTGATGATGACATAAAAACCATTTCAGGATTTTCAACAAAATGGGCAAATGTTTGAAAATGATCCAATTTAAAATACAGTTTATGAGTGGTTTCGGAAACAAGCAGACAGTCTGCATGAGGGCAGGTTTTCAAAGTCCCTGGAGAAGAGGGGCTTAGGAGTCTGGTGGCCTGTGTGGCTGGTTGTCAGGAGAGAGATCCACATGACTCCAACAGCCAAAAACCTAACAGGTCTCGAAGGTGAGCTTCCACTAAAGGAGATCTAAAAAATCTCACACGAAAAGCTGCCTCACCAGGGAGTTTTCCGGAGCAGCTTGGAGGTTCCAGGGGAGATGGACTTAATGACGGCCAAGGTGAAGAACCAAGGGGTGATTCACAAATTAATGAGAAAAGAGCCATCTTCTGTGTTAATTTTCTGAATCCAGCCTCCCTGGTCAACTGCTGGGGGGCATACAGGAAAGAGAGAGGAAGAGGAGGGGGTAGGAAAAGATCCTCTTCTAGTCCCAGTCAGCATTTAGAAAGAGTCTGGTGACATGGCAGAGATGGTTCAGCGGGTAAAGGCACTTGGCACACAAACATAGGGCCCGGAGTTCAATCTCCAGAACCCACTGGGAAGGAGAGAACCAACTCCCCAAAGTTGTCCTCTGACGACCACATGGGGAAGAAAGCTTAGAAGGGGCCAGTAGCAGTTACTGGCTGCTGGTGTTGCAGTGAAAGTTCTCTTCAGAGGTGCTGGTAAGCTGCCTATACTCCAACAGGTAACCCCACATCCAGGCACCTCGAAGGCAACCCCAACCCAGTGGGCTATTTTTAAAGACAAGAAAGTGGGAGGGGTATGCTGGGAAAGAGGCTCTTAGAGCGAGAGGGAGGTTAAGAGGGGAGGGTGTGACTATGGCCAAAATTACAGTCATTCTAGTCATGGATGAAACTGTCAAAGAATGCATTTTAAAGCTACTTTAAAAAAATTCAGAAGCCACCCAGACGAGGGAAGCCCTCTGGCCCGCGGTGTTACTCAGTTAATCTGGCTCTTATAACTTCTGATTACTTTTATTTCAGGCTGATAGAGCTGACATTTCTCACCTGATTCTATAAACCTTGAGTTTCTACAGTTTTTAGACTTCATGTTTGAAACTGAAATTTAATTAAATAAAAATAATTACGTTTGATAGTGTGCTATGCAAAATATTTTTACACAGAGACAAACTGTTTAGTTCTGTGAAAATGTGAAAGTTGAGCCTGGGGAATGCCCAGTGCAGACTTAGTAACCAGCAAGTCCGAGGCCCTAGGCTCGGTTCCAAGGAAAACTCACTGCTATGTACTGCTTCCCCAAAATGCACATTTACAGCAAGAGAAAACCATTCTGCATCCTGGTGAGACTGTGCAGCCTACAGCTCGAGTAAGTATTAGAAATGTAATCCAATTCCCACTGAATTTCAGGAGTCACCAAACATTGCCAAAACTCAAAGAGCCCTGGTGTACTCAGGGGATGAAGGACCCTGGTGTACTCGGGATGAACAGCCCTGGTGCACTCACAAGATGAAGAGCCCTGGTGTACTCAGGGGATGAAGGTAGCCCTTGCTCCACCTGCCCAGGTCAGGGATTGGCATCAGGGGTCTGATTGTTATCTCAGAGCTGGAATTTATAATCCACAGTGAAAGAATCCTAAAACTCCCTAAACAGCTAAGGATGGCTATCTGGAGTAATCAGTAAAAAGGCAGTGCCTCACCATCCAATCACATATTAACCAAGAACATCAGGGTGGACACAGTGCCCCAAAACTTTCTAAAATGATGGGCAGAGAAAGAGGCCTCACTCACTGTGGAATATTTTAATAAAAAGCTCTACTTGCAAAATGTAGTTCAATCTCATAAAAGACCCTAATTATGTCACCTTTTTAATAATCTTGATAACCATAAAAATTAGAGAAAATGGGAAGCTTCAAAGTAGGAGCTGTTTTTGCTAAATATTCAAAACATTTTAATTTTAATTTTTTTTTTAAAAAAAGGTACTTAGTTTAGAAGCAACTATTTTGTCAGTTTGTTGAGAAACCTTTAAATTCTCAAGACTCTTAAAAAAAAAAACAGAAAAAGCACAGCTAGAAAACACTGACAGCAGAGAGGGGGAGCAGGAGGGGGAGGGGGAGGGGGAGGGGGGAGGCATCTTACCATTGGCAGTGCATTGATGTGGGGTCACAACTCAATATCCGACCGCCAATCACAAGTTGCTGAGGCTGAGAGAGAGGAAAATACAGTTTCAGTGTTCCCAGATTCAGTTTACAACTGTCCATCCCAAACTTTACAAGTTCAGAACACTCTTCCTTTGTGTGGGGCTTTATCGTGCAACCGGTAGGAAGCTCCCTAGAGCAGGGCACCCGTGTGCCTCAAGAGCCCCCGAACACGCCACAGGGGGATAGGGTTCAACACGCTGTGAGATAGGAGTGTGAGCTGTAGACAGTGTCAACTTGTGCTCTACGTATTTTGATTCATAATAGAAAAATACATAGCTGGTTTTGAAATTACTTCAATCAAAACGTGTCAGGTACTAATCTCTTCAGGGTTCACTTTTTATACAGGCTTTATTCTCAACCCTTCATAGTGTGTAAGTCACAGCACATCACACGTGGAACTTTTGTGAATGTGCTAATTTAATTCTACTACTTGGGAGGCCGAGGTAGGCAGACAGAGACCAGTCTGGTCTACATAGTGAGTTCCAGGCCAGCCAGGCCTACATAGTGAGACTGGGTCTCAAACAAACAAAAAAATTACGTTCCACATACATGTCTGAAAGGGCACTCGGGGGACAGCGGCCATCAGTGTAAAGTAGTCGTGACGGGGCACGAAGCAGACGCCCCCAGGTGGCGACTCGCCAAGGCACGTGGTTGCATGGTTCCTGCACCACAGACGGGAGTTCAAGCAAGTTATTGTTCTTCAATTAAAAGATCACTAACGGTATCCTGAGCTATGAAGTCTGCAAATCCCTTCAAAGTTTGCTCTCCGCTTTTCCTGGCCGAGCACGCAGGTGTCCTGCCCAGTGGCCCCACAGCCACACTAGCTCCAGGACCACCTAGTATTGCAGGTAGCTCACTTATAAGGGGACTGACGAATTTAAGTTAACACACATGCTTACTGAATTAACCCAGCACGCCTCATCCCACCAGCCTCCAGGGCTTTAAGACAAGCTATTCAAGCAAGTCCCGGTGTTGTGGTATGAGACACTGCTTCTTAGGTTGGGGAGCTCAGTGGTCCACCCCAGCACACCCTGGTGAAAGGTTCTACAGGCAGCACAGCGGAACCCAAGAGAAGCTAGACACCGCCACAGCCCTTGCCTTGGGCTTACACTCTGAACATCATTCCCTGTACTATGACGTGTCTATCAATTTTGAGATGAAGTATTAGAGCGCTCTCACCAGGAAAAAAGGTTTACCCTGTGTACCATCTACTTACAATGTGCTAAAATGTGTATATATCAAAATACACAACATAGAAGAAAAGACAAAGGTTATTTATAAGTGTTATAACTGCTTTTCTTGATAGAAAAAAATCTGATCTTTTTTACATGTCTTCTTTTTTAATATTTATTATTTTTATTTTATGTGTATGAGTGTATTGCCTGCATGTATGTGAGTGCACCCATGTCGTGCAATGCCAGAGGTCAGAAGAGGGCTTTGGATTCCCCTGGAACTGGAGTTAAGGATGGTTCACAGCCGCTGTGTGGGTGCTGGGAATTGAACCCGGGTCCTCTGCAAGAGCAGTCAGTGCTCTTAACCACTGAGCCATCTCTCCAGTCCCTTACATGTCTTCTTAAACATGGCTTTATTATCACTACTAAATAATAATCTTAAGGCACAATTTCTTCTTAGAATTAGATACTTCAGTACCAACAGTGAACGAGTCTATATTTCAGTCCTTCCTTGATAAGCTCTAATTTTAGACATCTAAAAGGGCTCGAGCACAGCAGGTGGCGTTCATTCTACTTTCTGGTGTCAGCTTTACTCCTGTTACCATTTCTATTTGCCATTTTCTTGTAAGACTCAGTTAGAACAAGATACTATAACCTATAAATCCACATAAGTAAACAAATGAACCTGTAGTGGTCCCCTGAACTCCATGGCGAGTCCCTGAACTGGATGACAGCGGGTGACTGGCAGACTCCCTGACCTTCCCTCGGAGAGCAATCTGAGCCACGTTATAAACGACTCTGCCACCTGGGCTGAGCCCTGAATTAAGGTATGAGAAACAATGCCATCACCTAAAATGAGCATCTACATGCTAACAGTGGTGCTCTAACCCAGCAGACACAGACCCCACCTGTGTACGTCCGCGACACCCACGGACTCTCACACACCGACTTTGGGAAAACACTGAACGGAATCACTGCAGCTGTCTCCCCTCTCTCCATTGCTCTCTGCCTTTCTTGGGGTCTCACCACCTCCATGGCTGTATTAATCTCAGTTCTAATGATCTTTCCTTGATATCCTGTCTTTTTTTTTTTTTAAATGTGTATGCGTGTATTGCCTGCATGTAGGTAAGTGCACCCGTGTCGTGCAATGCCCACGGAGGTCAGAAAAGGCTGTCGGATCCCCTGGGACTGGAGTACGGACAGTTGTTAGCTGCCATGTGGGTGCTGGGCTTTGAATCCGAGTCTTCTGTAAGAACAACCAGTGTTCTTAACCACTGAACCATCTCTCCAGCCCCGACATCCTGTCTTTTACTGAGCTTGTCCACTCAGGTAGCAGCTCCTTGCAGTTTAAATCTAAATAGGTCGGTAAATACCTGGTTCTGTGATGTGAAGGAGTTTGTCTTCAGTGACCAGCACAGCAACAGACAGCTATGTGCAGGCAATTCAACTCAAAAGCCAGGAATTTCTAGAACCACATTCAGGGCACATTTAAAGTTCTAGCTTAAATGTTTTCTGAGTCAACTCAATCACCCATGGCCCAGTTGTTGTGCAGTGCATTTATAAAGCAAATCACAAGAAGGGAAAATTTTGGCTCTATAAGACACAGATACAGACTTTGCAGAGCCAGGTACACTTAAAGTCATAGGACAATGCTGATTAAAATGAATCAAGCAATTCAAGACATAAGAAACACTGTATCTTATACTATACATCTGCCTCTTCGTTTTTGAGATGTGGTCCTGCTGTGCAGCCCGGCTGGCTTCTACCGGACAACCCCGCCTCTCTGCACCACGATCTGATTTGTACCTGGGGCTCCTGTGCTGCCTTCTCAACCTTGCACACCCTCCACTCCACAGCTGGGCACGTGCACAGATACTGTTCAGCGTCTGTCCCAGTGACTGCTGCAGAATGAGGCGACGTTTGTTCATCTACAAAACTAAGACTAGCAGAGGCAGGCAGATCTCTGTGAGTTCAAGGCCAGCCTGGTCTACGCAGTGAGCGCCAGGTCAGTTGGGGTTAGGGGAGACCCTGTCTCAAAAAGACCCCCCCCCCAAAGTCAAAACTAAGAATAAGAACTGGAATATATGCAGTTCTTAAAATCTATTGGGTTTTAAAAAAATATATATATATATTTTTATTTTATGTGTATGAGTGTATTGCCTGAATGTAAGTGCACCTAGGTTGTGCAATGCCCATGGAGGTCAGAAGAGGAAGATGGACCCCCTGGGACTGAAGTGGCTGTTAGCCACAATGTGGGTGCTGGGAAGCGAACCCAGGTCCTCTGTAAGAGCAGCCAGTGCTCTTAACCACTGAGCATCTCTCCAGTCCCACAAACTATTATTTTAATAGCACAGGCACAGGAATGGGCACATACATTAAAGCACATCAGAGATGCAGTGCATAGATCAACCACAGGAGGGAAGAGGACTCCACAGTGGGCCGCAGTGTGGCCCATGAGGAAGAAATGACTGGGAGCACCTAGATCAAGGGCACCACCACTCCCAGGAGGCGGTCATACGGGCCAACCTTCCACACTGACAGGAAGCTAATGCACACCTGAGAATCTCACTACAAACCAAGCTCATGAGCCAAGTCCATTCAGTCTCCAAACAAAAGGCTTTGTTTCTGTAAGCTATTATCAGCACTTTGCCTAAAATGAGTGAAAATGTAGCTTAACACCACAGGGTAAGGTAACAGGACCTGACTGTCAGGCGCAATGTCAGACGAGCACTAGCAGTGAAGAAACAGTCCAAACAGCTTTTTAAAGGACTCACAGATGAGGCAGAGGCAAGGCCACCTTAACATTAGAGGGATGCTCAAAGACACAGCGGGCTTGTTTCCGGCTGAGCCACCAGCACCCTGGGGTACTGCTGCCCAGACCCTGCATGCGGGTACTCAGACCCGCAGGCCCTGCATGCAGGCACTTGGACCTGCAGACCAGCCTTGTGTTGGTGTCATCAACAGCATTGGAAATCATACTGGGACTGTTCATGTTCCCAAAACAGATTAGTTTCAAGCACTCTAATTTCTTTTCTCTGAAATATCTGTTGTAACGTAACATCCCCTCACACCATAAAGCTACAATTCCTAAGAGGCAGTATACTGCAAAGGACATTTTTATCTAACATTTTATTAGCGAGCACCGAGGAGGTCACCCAATGTAAAGGGGCAGTGCGCGTCAGAACCACCTGTGCTCACTGTAATATGCTCACTTTTATTTATTTTTATTTAATCTTATTAGTGGCATGTGTTGTGTATCAACGTGGGTGCAGCACACACCTGAGAGTATACATGCCACAGTGAACATGTGAACTTGTAGAGGTCAGAGGGCAACTTTCAGAACTCGCTCCTTCCCCGGCCTGACTCCAAATTACTTTTCTGTACACAATGATTCTCATAAAGTTAACAGAGTTCCAAATTTTTGCCAAGATATGTACTACTGGTAAAGAAAAGAGTCCCTGTGGCACAACCAGTCACCGAGGCCCCTTTACAGTCTAAACAGCAAATGTGGTATTTGAACCGCCAACAGAGGCTGGGGCGTCCCAGTACAGACACTCGCTTGCCAAATACCATCCTGGGAAAAGCCCCAGCCAGTGCCGCTTCATGTGCAGAACCCTCCCTGGCTCCATGTCCGACACTCATCAGAAGAGAATGAAGAGGAAGGGACACAGCCTGTGAGATGCTCAGAGCCAGACTCACAGGGAGACTGGCTAATCCCTGGGAGAAGAGAGCGCCTCTGTGATGTGCGTCTGCTTCCCGCCTGCAACACCATTTCGTGCTGCAGAAGTGTGAGTGTGACGGAGGGTTCGGGCTGCAGGGGGTCTTCTCGAA